AACTCTCTAGAAATCGAATTTCATCTGCAGTTTTAGGAATCAAACCTCAAGTATGGTGTAAAAGGAGTAAATCCTTAACCACTAGACAAAAATCTTTCACAAAATTTATATACAACAACTATTGATTATGATAGTAATGAAACTATATACTTCAAAATGAATATTAAAAACAAATATTATCAGAAAACTGGTCCAACTCCAAATTTATTTAATGTTGGCATTATCCATTATATATAACATCCAATATCCGAGAAACACCCCTAATAGGCCCAAATGAAATCCGATATTAACAAATCTTCTAGCAGAGCTCTGTTTCTTAGAGAAAACTATAAAACCCCTAACGTGTTCAAGAAGCATAAAGCACACACAAGGATCTGCACAGACACAAGGACTAGCCTCCTCTGTTCCTCTTCTTAGGAGGGAGTTGTCCGTCGAGAGGCCTATATCTTCTTCTTCTTCGCCCTTGAGACCTAGGTTTCCTTGTCATAAGCATCATCCCAAAAAACCGATGAAATATGGAGACCTCTCCTCTCTTTCTTCCTCCTGTTCTCTTCTTTTTGACACCAGAGTTGCTCATTACATGCTCTACTTTGCAACCGAGGGAGCAGAAGTTATCCACTTGGCAGACGTCCTCATCATGATTCGATTGGAGTTGAATCAACATCTTGTTTTCTACGCTTTTTCTCTGCCATTAGAAAAAAGAACCGTATTTTGGATGAACAAATCTGTTTTGATTAAGTGTTGATATATAATCTTATTCCTATCATTTTACCTGTATAGATGAACAGTCAAAAAACTCTGAAATGTCATCAACCCAAACAGCATTCCGGTCCATATATTTCACCACCTGTGTGATTTGACACGACCACTAACACATTCTTATACGACAATTTGAAAAAAGATCCCTAATTTTAACAATTAAAAGAAAAGATGACTAACCTTGATTATTTGTTCCACATCTGGTGCACATGGTTTCACGGTTTATGAAATTGAAAACACGCCTTATTCTTCTACCGTGACCCTCCTTGTTGCAGACTTGATTAAAGTCGTCTTGGACCAATAACTGTATCGCTTCCATGGGATAAGAGGAGGAAAATGCTCGCACTCTCTGTGAAGATTTTTCAAGAACGAGCCAAGAATAAACAAAAAGAAGAGATTACGATAACGTTTATGTAATGATACTGTGATTCATGAGGAACAAGATTGCTCCGAATCTCTGGATAAGAGTTTCTTTCTTCAAGAACGAGCAAGGATAGATGATAATGTAAAGATGATAATTCAACGAAGCTTTATTACCAATCGGACGAAAGAGGAAGACGATCACTCCGACGATCTCTTTAATGGAAGAAGATCCCTTCGAATGATCTCTGTGAAGTTGAATTTCTTCAGTTACGAACGAAGAATCGAGAGAGAAGAGAGTACGGAAATGATTATGTAACGATAATTCGATTGAGCAACGAAGCTAACTAACCAATCGGACGAAAGAGGAAGACGGTGGCTCCGATGATCTCTTCAAGGTTCCGATGATCTCTCTGATAGACTCTCTCCACGGAGGAAAATGTCGTTACGATGATTCTTGAAAACGAGCGAGCTAAGAGGGAAAGAGAGGAGAGTTTAAACAAACGAATATGTATAGAAAAACGAGTCGGTTTCTTTTCTTTTTACCCGAACAAATGTTACCCATCTAATATACGGTAATTTTATATCTTTACTCTATGAGAACAAAAAAACTTGAAATGTTACTGTTCCACTTAATCACCCTTTTGTTTTTTTTTTTTGGGGTAAAAAATCGGTCCAAGATTTTTGGCTAGTGGTATCAAAAACTCGAAATTGAGTGAGGTATCAAATGAATAATGTGGAATCATACGAAGACAGAATGCTACAAATTATGAGTTAGTAATAATATATATTGTTTATCTAAAAATTGTGTTTTCTTAAACTGATCTTTTCATCATTTCTAATTTTTTAGTATACAAGATTTGTTACACGCTTTTTTTTTTTTTTTGCTAAATGAACAATTGTTACACACACTTATTGCTATGTTTTTTGCCATTCAAGCATATTTTAGACTACATGATCCCTTATGACCATCCACATTGGAAATCAAATGTGGATGTCTCTAAATAAAAAAATATTAAAAACACTCTCTCTTTCTTTTACTCAACTTTATACCTTCTCTTTCATATTTTTACTCAACTTTTATTAATTTTATATTTAAACACACTCCAACTTTCACCAATTTTTTCTCCAACTTTGTCTTTTCCGAGACATCCTCTCTCCAATAATACCCACTATCTCATCTCTTTACTCAAATTTTATTAATTTTATATTTCAATACACCCCATTATTTCAACCAAAAACACTCTCTTTCTTCTTTTTACTCAACTTTTAATAATTTTATATTTAAAGACACATACAAAATGTCTCCAATGCAGATGCTCTAATATGTAATTGCTTTGCATGGTGAATACCGCTCGAACCGCTTTTCACCATTCGGAACCTTAAACCTATTTATTAGATGTGACAACTTACGAAACCATATATTATGAAAATATTAACTATATACCACGTCTATTAAATGTATAAATCTATTCCATTTGTTAAAAAAGTTTATAAATGTAATTTCTTCCTTCTTTTATATACCACGTTTTGTCTATATACACTGATCGTCAAAATACAGTAAAAGAATCACAATTCTAACACTAAATACATACAACATTGTTGAAAATTAGACAGCTAAAAAGCTCTAGCTCAAGTCTTTTACCATATCTTGCCGCCCTTCATGTATGTTAAAACAGTATCAAGAATTGACGCCATTGAGTTGTCCTGTTCCGTGAAACAGGACATGGTACGAAAAACATGTCCTGTGTCACTCGCATACTCATCCAATGTTTTTGTTTTGTTCTTAATGTCTAGCAGGAACTTGAGCTGCCTGCAACCGAGTCACATTGTGGATCAGATTACTCGTGTTCTCGCACTTGCAAAAACCTTCATCAAGCATGGCGTTATAGCTCTCTTCAGATAAAGATGCTTTCTCACTCAATTTCAGAGAATGTAGACAAAGATCCGTGTACTGTTGAGCCTTACTCGAATCTACATCGATCTAATCAGATTCCACGACTTCCTTGCTTTTTGCATCATTTGTCTAATGCTTCAACATATACACTGAGTGGAGATATTAATCAGTTCCTCAGACATATGCAGAACAATCATTGCATGCCTACAAAGAAAATCTTTGAATTTAAACAGTCGGCATGAACTGTGTAAAGTAAGAGAATATGTTTTTGTTATTGATATCGACGGCCATACAAACGTATTTATACAAGAACACAAAACCCTAAAGTTACTTGGTGACCAAGCTAATATACATACGGCTTGTTGTTCATAACAAGTTAGTGAAATTTATAATTGACTTCTCTAACAAACTGACAAGTTCAGATGACTCACAGTTGTTCCGCAACAAATGGTTCTGCTCATAAATCATAATCTTGAAGCCTGAAACTCCTCGTGTTAACCCCATATTCTTAGCTTTACAAGCAACACCTCCACCTGAAACTTCATCTCACGAGTGTATACCTCAGCCATTTGCTTCTCAAATGGTGAAGGTGACTTATTGACAGGATGCAAGTATTATTGAGATGAGCTAGAAGGTTTTTCATAACAAGTTAGTGAAATTACTATGAATATTGGAGATTTGCAAACAAAGAAAACTGAAATTTATTTACCACTACATAAACATTCATTTTTCACCATCAAAATTAAAATCAAAGATAGAGAAAAATTCAGAATTCTGCTGCTTAAAATGGGAAGAGGGACTCAGTTAGATAAATTCCTGTTGGATTGTTGATATTTTGAAAAATCGTCAATGTTGCTGAGGATCATGTCTAAAACTTGACTGTCCCTAACATTCATCAATAAACACAAATTGTAAACACAAAATAGAGAAACACATGAAAATTTTGAGATAGCTTTAAAAGGTCTAGTTCAAGTCTTTTACCATGTCTTGAAGTCTTTCATACATAGCTTCTGGTCTGAAACTTAACTGTTCCTGCTATAATTTTTCAACATGAACTTCAATCAAACCTGCTCAAAAACTCATATATGAGATCAAACTTGGGGTTATGCAGATTGGTTCAGAGAACAACTTACAGTTCCATAAAGCCTTTCTTGAGTTATGGATTGTCCCTGCAATGAGATTAACATAAAGCATCATCAGTTATATATCTCAGAGATTCTCTTTCCAAACACCAAAGAAAAACTCAGTCACATATTTACCAGGGCATGTTGTATGTTTTGATGTGCAGTACAATATCCATTGCGGTTTGAGGCCATCGAGTTGATTTGTACCTGTTGATCACACAGAGGAACTAACAATGTTAGGTTCAAGTTTGAGCCTTTTTATACTCTGTAGCTGTACTACAAGGACTTTTCTCCTGTACCATTTCATGAGACATTTGTTGAGCACTGAGGTAGTCATCGAGAATCGAGTACCGGTTCCTATGTTCCTGAGATGCATTCACTTTCCAGACCTGGTGCGAGCCAATGCTTAAAACTTCCTGTAATGAATGTTCCTTGACAAAGAGAAAACCAGGTTAGGCCAAATACTTTTCTTAAGAGCAAGATCAGGAGATTAACTTTCTTGTTCAATGAAACAAGCTTAGAAGTAAACACAAACCTGTCCAGTGTCAGCCACATTCTCGTCAAATGTGTTGTTATGTTCTTCATGTCTTGAAGGATCTTGAGCTACATCTGAATCAGAATCTTCAACAATGTGGATCAAGTTACTCATGTTCTCACAGTTTTTAAGAGCTTCATTCAACACATTAATCACGGCGTTATAGCTCTCTTCAGATAAAGATGCTTCCTCACTCAATTTCAAAGAGCGGAGACAAAGATCAGTGTACCGTTGAGCCTTAGTTGAATCTATATCGATCTGATCAGATTCCATGACTTCTCTGCTTCTCGCATCCCTTGTCCAACGCTTCAACACATACTGAGAAGGAATACTGAGTTCCCCGGACATCTGCAGAACAATCATCGCATGTCTACAAAGAAAACCTTTGAACTCAAACAATCGACAAGAACAGACAACTTCAGATGATTCAGAGTTCCACACCACAACGAAACCACGGTTCTGCTCATAATCTTGAACCCTGAAAGTCTTCTTGTTAACCCCATCGTCTTCGCTTTCTTTCTTCGGATGACAAGCAACTCCTCCCAACACCTCCACCTGAAACTTCCTGAACATCTCGCGTGTGTATACCTCAGCCATTTGCTTTCCAAATGGTGAAGGTGACTTAAGTGCAGGTTGTTTATACAGTGTCTCAATCTCAGCTCTCTCTTCCTCTTCGTACCTCTCTTGTATCATCGTCTTGTACTGATCAAGAAATGCTCTCAACGTGGTTTTCCTTTGAATGTATTTATCGAAAACAGGGTTCACGCTATCCGATCTCGGAGCTGTACACATTCCCGCTAGAGAAACATCATTCATATATACAGGAGCCCAATATTTTCGGTCTTCATACAACGACTGAAGCCACACATTGTCTCTCACATGAAACTTATCAACTACCTCCACCCATTTCTTTTCGAATTCATCACTCTTGCAAAACCCGTAAATCGCCTCATTTATCTCATCCATAAAGCTTTTCTCTTGTCTCATAACATGACCAAGCTTCTCAGGCATCTGACCAAGAGTATCCCACATATGAAAACAATGTCTCGTAGATGGGAAAGCCTCAGAAACAGCTTCTTTGAGTGTTTGTTCATGTTTTGTTAGGATAACTCGGGGTTGGCATCCATGCATCGCTTTTAACCATGCCCGAAAAAGCCAAACAAATCCAGATATAGACTCATCTGCTAATAACAATCCAGAACCAAGCAACAAAAACTGTCCGTGGTGATTCACGCCAATAAAAGCGACAAGAGGAAGCTTATACTCATTCTTGATGAATGTAGTATCGATAGATACAACATCGCAGAAACAAGTATAATCCAATCTCCCTTTTGCATCAACCCAAAAAACGTTTCTTAGACTCTGCTCCTCACTGAGATCAATGGAATAAAAGAAGAAAGGATTCTCGACTTGCATATCCGTAAAGAACTTTAAGAGTCTTTCAACATCCCCATCCTCTAAAGCTAATACCTTTCTGCTTCTCATCTCTTTAACAATAACACTACCATGTTGTTTCTCGAGTACTTTCCTCCCACCCGATTCTCTTACGGACTTTGGTAGACCAGGGAAGGTCTCATGGTTATGTTCTTTAATCAAAGTGCGAATAACCCACCTCCCATCTTCCCTTCTCTTAACATGTAAGCATGCTTTACAATCGGATTTCTTCGACGATGAACGGTTTATTCTCCTTCCCTGAGGAATGTTAATGTCTTCTTCGTCTCCTCCATCTGCTGTTTTCTTGCTTCCATATCGAGTACAAACAAACTTAGCATCGATAAATGTCCCGGTCATTCTTGAACGACGACTAGCTTTAGTAATGGTAGTAAAGCCAACAGATTTAGCATACTCTTTGTACAACTCAAAGGCTTCCTCTTTTGATTCAAATTCTGTATCTTCATTGATCACAAAGTTTCTACTTTGATCCATTTCGAGATCAATCCCCCCCCACCCCCCATTAACTAATCGTTAAACAAAACCAAAATCTCTTGCATCAAAACTAAACCCTGTTAAAACACAATTGGTGGTAAGTTCTCTAAAGTTGCAAGCTTTACGAAAGATTCAAATAAATCAGAACATTTAAATTCCATAATCAGCTCAAAAACTCAAGCTTGAATCAAACTCATGATCAAAGCAAAACCCAGAAACGACACTTAATCAACAACTAAATACAGGTACGAAACAGTAACAATCAGAAACTAATATACTAAAACTGCAAAGATGATATAACTTGGAGGGCCAAAAAAATAATTACATGATGAAGAAGAGAGTGATGATCGGAGGCGAGTACAGAGTCAATTTTTCATTTCACCATTAATTTGATTCTTAGGGCAGAGTCATCGTCGTCGCCGTCGTACTCGCGTTTTTTATACTCGCGGTTATCTTAACCGGAATGTATTTTCGATAACCGGATTCTATTTGATAATAACCGGACTTCATTTGGTATTAACCGGTTTTTTACGAAAGAAAAATCTTGAACCACACATTATCTTCTTCTTCTTCACTTGCATATGGAAAAATCGGAAATTGGAGGAGAAAATGTCTGATTTTCCCGGAGAATTTTGACAGAAAGTTCCTCAGGTTTCTTATTTAATCGATTTTCATAAGAAATTATTATAGTTCTTGGAGATTTTTAAGCTTATGGTAGTTAGTTTTCTCAGTAAAGTTTGCGTTTGTGCACAATCGAAATCTTTGGATATCTTTAATTATTATAATGTGAAAAATTTATAATCTTTAATAGATTTTTAGGACTCTTTGGTGCCTGAAAGATTTGATTTGATTTGATTTTTTTTTTGTTTTCATGTTCTGTTTCTTGGTTAGGATGGTGAATCAAATTGTGTGATCAAAGATTGCTTAAAAGAAATGGTTTTTGCTGTTTGTGTTGGTAATTCACCTCTTGTATCTATGGAATTGAGATGGGTAAGAAGAAGAAAATGTGATAATAATGATAATCAAAGAAGAAAACTCAACGAGCTGAATGCTGCTTCATCGAGGTTATTGCCTCGATCGATACCTGTTTACATCTCTACGTTGAAGAAAGACGTAAATCTAGAGGAATTGAGAAGTTTGTATTCACATTGTGACCACTCTTGCAACCGCTTGTCTGAGAATGGTAGCATTGTTGACATGAAAAAGCTGCGTACAGCTATCTCGCGCAGCGATGTTGTTGTCTCTGTGTTTTGCAAATCTCATCACGCGGATCTTTACGACGATGATTCTGCGGTTTTGGATTCAGAAGAAGAAAGTTTGGCTTCATCTTTGTATTCTTCAGACATCATGAAACAAGACAAGGATGAGAGTTCTCTGGGGGACTTATTTCAGAATGTGTTGCCTCTCACTCCTACAAATGGACGGCTTGTTGGATTCGGTCGTGCCTATTCTGATCATGGCTTGACCGCTTCTATCCACGATCTAATGGTAATTTATCGATAGCACAAGTTTAACAGGGTAATTTAGTGGAATCTGCTTTCATTACCCGGTCTACTCAGCTATAATACCTTCTGCTTTGGTGCTAAGATGTGTAATTTGGTCTCAGTGTCTTCCAGGTTTTACCTTCGTTACAACGGATGGGAATCGGTAAACTGATAGTTAACAGAATTATCAGGTTTGATTGGATTTTACCACTATGATTTTGCTTTACTTAAAATCCCCTGAGCCTTTTAATATCGAATTGCCTCATTCATCGAAAGAAACTGTTTCAATAGGCATCTCACAAGCAGAGATATCTACGACATAGCAGCTCTCTGCTTCGAGCATGAAAGGTACCTCTTTTACCTCTGACATAACTAATCCCCATCCTTAGCAGCTTGTGAGCTCTTTTTTGTATCCTTTCACGCTAGGTTTAGGATCGAAGGATATAGATCGTGTTCTGACCAATGATTTGGTTGATGATATATTGAATATTGTTGGGACTGATATTAATATAAGATTGATTCTAAATGTGAATGCAAAATCCTTATGCATAACTACTGAATGGTAAAGAAAACATTTTTGACAGGCCATTCTTCAAAGCCTGTGGGTTTGGAGATGACAGAATGGGTTCGACGACAATGATGTTCACGAAGAGCTTGGAGGCGTAAAACCGAAGCGAGAAGGCTGTTGGATGTTGACAAAACTGCAGATCAAAGCAAGTTAATGAATAATCTCTCAAATCTTTTCTAAATCTCTATGTGATGATCAAAAACAAAAGGCCAAAGATTTAGTGTCTTTCTTGCATTTGGATTTTTATATATAGTGACCATTCTTTGCTTTTGATACATAATTTTTCATGAAATTATGATAATAGAACACTAATATGTTTTCTAATTAAATTTATAAATAGAAAAGAAATCCTTTTTTAGTTTTTTATAAGAACAAGTCTCTTTTTTTAGATCGCATAACAACATGTAAGTCCCATCCTTAATTTCGAAAGCTCTCTTGTATGTATGTAAGTAAGATTTGCATACCAAAAAAGGTTTTTTTTTTTTTGTGTTAAAAGGTTTACTAGGCATTACAAAAAAAAGAGTTAATACGGCCAATAAAAGAAAAGAAAAGAAAAGAAGTAAATATGTGTTCGCATGAATGACTGTTTGATTCGACAATAATTCGAGAATAAATGCATCCACAACTATAACATGTACTGATGATGTACATGTGATGTTGACTTTAAAAATGCATCTCATTAGTATGTTTAACTTTAAAAAGATATATATACACAGTTACACACACACATGTTAGCTAATATGTTCACATTAGTATATTTAACTTTAGAAAGATATATATGTATACACAAATGTTCGACAA